GTTCACACAGGCCCTCCCTGTCCACCTAGTAAGGGAGGCTGCCCACTTACTGTCTAATCCTTACCCTATTTCGTTTTCTTCAAAATACTTCTCATTTTCTGAAATTACCTTATTTATTTACCCATTTCTTCACTTTTTTTATTATGCTTTATCAACTCTGATGGTCTTCCTCCACTGTAGCATAAGCACCCTAAGGCCAGGGCTCCCCTTGTCTCCCATTCTCCTGTGTCCCCAGAGTCCAGCTCATAGAAGGTGCTGAAGAAACATTTGTGTACTGAGCAACTCGCTGATAGAGCTTTCATTTTAGGGAGGGAGATTTTTAAAAAAATTAACAAGATAAACAAGATAATATCATACTGAGAGGAAGATGCTATGAAGACAGTAAAACAGGGTGATAGGATAGAGAGTGACTGGAGTTAAGGTGGATTTTTTTGTTTATTTTGTTTTTGTTTGATTTTAAATAGGATGGTACAGGAAGGAATCTCTAAGGAGGTAGCATTTGAGTTAAGATCTAAGTAATGAGAGTAATCCAGCCATGAAAAGAGCTGCAAGGAGAGTTGTGGAAAGGGAATAGCATATGCAAAGGGCCTACGATGGACTGAGCCTGCCCTGTTCAGCTACAGAAATGAGACAGCATGCCTTGAGCATACGCCATAGTAAGGCAGGGACCAGATCAGGTGAGGCAGGAAGTATGGACTAACTTCTTCTAAAGTGCAGTAGGAGTAGCCACTGGAGGATTTCATGCAGGAAAATAAAAACCATTTTGATACAGTGGGTGTTTCTATGTGTGTGTATGCACGTATCATAAGTATATAAGTGTGCACGTGTGTACATGTATGTGTGTGTGTGTTTATGACGTGTTCACACATCTGGGAGTTCACACATCCAGGTGTGCACATACGTGTGAACACCACCAGTGCGTCTGTATCTCCCTGTCTTGGACAGATCCTCAAGCTTTGCCCGAAGAAGAAGAGCTCCTCCACATACACCTTCTGCAAGTCAGTTGGCCTGCTAGGCATGCAGTTCCACCTCTTTGAGAATGAGTGTAAGTCTCATTGGGCCCCGGAGACATGGCAGCGGTTGGCTGGGAGGAAGCTGAGGGTTGTAGGAGGGTGAGGGGGCAAGCCTGCTGGTCTGGCTCCAGCTTCACCCGCTGCAACTGACCACCCGTGTGCCTGGGGTCTGGTTTCCAGATTACTCTCATGGCATCACCCTGGTGACCCCACTCTCGGGCTCTGAGAAGAAGCAGGTGCTGCATTTCTGTGCCCTGGGCTCAGACGAGATGCAGAAGTTCGTGGAGGACCTGAAGGAGTCCATTGCCGAAGTAATGGAGCTGGAGCAGATCCGGATAGAGTGTAAGGACACGGGGCTCCCCAGCGTCGTGAGGTGGTTGGCAGGGAGGGGGGCCAGCTGCCAGTCAGTTGGCTGTAGACAGACATGACTCTGACTTCCTCCCCTACTTTGGGGTGAGTGTGAGGTAAGCCCAGGTCTCTCCTGCCATCCAAACCCTCACCTGTCCCCAGCCCACGGCACCATTATGGCCTCATGTGGGTGCCCTGCTCTTCATGTTTCTTCACAATTTAAGTGAATAGGCTAGAGCATGCACACCTGTGTGCACATCTAGCCAGACCAGGGGGCAGCGTATGGGCCCCTGGGAACAGAGAGCTCGGATGGGTTTGACCAGGATAACTGCATGAGCCGACCAAGGCAGGCAGGCAAACCAAAGAGGTCTGGGGCCCAGGCGTTTCTGTCCCACCAGACTGCCTTGTACAGCCTCTTCCCCGGATTCAGCCCGGGTTCACATCCTACATATGTTACTTCATTTCTTTCATCTCGAATTGGCCCCTCTGCCAACTTTATTTTTCATAATGTTGTTTTTTTGAAAAGCCCAGGCTGGTTTTCTAACTCTCCATCTTAGAGTTAGCTTTCTGTTCTAAGGAATGCCTTGATTCTGGATTGTTTCAATTCAGGCATTTTAGAAAATATGTCTGGTACTTACCAGTTGCTCTTTGGTTTAAGGAAAGAGCAGTGATGACCTGCAACCTCTGTCCATTTGCAAGCTTTTCCTGTTTAAGCAGTACGATGGCTCCAGATAGCCTTTAAGACAATTAAATAAGAATGAATTCAGAAAGTAAAACAAAAAGTAAAAATAGACTTCAGGTCTGCCTTATATGGCCGCTTAGTTGAAAAGTATTTCTGAATTCACATAAATCCATTAGGCAACAGGAAAGGCAGTGGGAGTTTTTGAACAGGGGGCCTTTTTAATCAGTGTCTTGGGTCACCTACTATGTGCTAGGCAGTTAGTTTATATTCCACTCATCCGCACAGTGGTGCTGCAAAGTAGGTGCATTGTCCCCATTTGACAGGTAAGACTCAGAGAGGTTATGGGGTGTGTCCAAGGTCATGCATATCAGAAGCAGAGGAGCTGGAATTTGCATGTAATTCTGATTTCCAGGTTCATGTACTTTCTACTCTGATAGTGAGAGAAGAGGTTTGTTGATAGTTTCCTGGGAAAACAACTAAATCAGGTTAAAACAAAACCCCACCAGAACAGCCTATATAACAGGTAACTGCTTGGGTGGAGGGGCTGTATAAACTCCCTTTCTGCACTCCGTTGGCTAACCTGAGCTCAGCAGTATAACAGAGTCTTTGCAAAGGCTGGCTGGATACTCAGAGATGCCACCTCGGCTGCTGACCTTGAGCATTCTCAAGGGTGCACCCTGAAATGGCTTCATTTCTCTCATTGTCAAAATGTCACAGATGGCTCCATACAGCCCTGGGGAGCCGGAGTGGGCCAATAGGCACCAGCATTGCTGGAAGAGGCACCTTTCGCCCCATCAGCCTGGGAACAGCACATCATCTCTCCCCAAAGTACAAAGGGGTAGACAACGCCAGAATCTGTATGTCAAGAGGCGAATGTCCCCTCCTGTTCTTCGGAGGGCAGGGGAGCAGGGAGAGAGGCTCACACCTGGCTCTCATTCTTCAGATGGAGAGGTAGGGAAGGAGCAGCTGAGGAAAGATGCAGGGCTGGTCAGGGAGGCAGGGAGAAAGGAGGAAAGGAAAATGAGCAGCAGCCACCATTTGTTGAGCACGAACCTCGTGCCTGGCCCTGGGCTGAATGCTGAACCTATTGTGTTATCTAATTCTTGCCACAGAGGTAAGTAGTGTGTCCTCACTTTACAAATAAGGTAACCGAGCCTAACAAAGCTTAAGGAAGTTGCCCAAGTTCACACAGTCAGTGACAAAACGAGATCTGCCCCCAGGTTTCTCGGATTCCCTGCCTGTAACTCCGATGCTGATCCCTCCAAAGCCAAGAGATCCCCTCTGCAGGAGAGGGACAACTCTCAGTTCAGTAAAAATACTTCCTATTGATTGATGGTGCGGTCCAGGCAAATCAGGACAAATTGTTTTGGTTTTGGGGTTTGCAGTCTGGTGTCCCTGGATTACAGACAACCAAAGAGGCAGAAAATGGGACCCAGGAGAGTTGCTTTAATAAAAGGAACTTGAGTTATGTCTCCTGGAAAAGAGAAGCTGAAGGAGTGATTTAATAATGCCTGTCAAGTCTGCAAGGATGGTAACTGGCAGTTCTCTGGTAGCACTGAGAGAAGAACAAGGAGGAACAGGCTTACAGTCTAGTGAGAGAAATTCAAGTTGATACCAAGACAGACACCCTGCCATGCGGGCTGTGCAGCACCAGCAGGCCCCGGGCACTTGGGATCTCTCCTGGGGAGAGCTCTGAAATCCCCAGGGGAGCGCAGCGGGCAAGGATGGCTCAGTCCCATGGGGAGCACGGTGGGCAGGCTGGATATCACCAGCCATTGCTAAAGTCAGCTGTGCCAAGTGATTCTTGCACATTGTAATAAAAGCTACTATTTATTGAGCACTTGCTGCAAGCCAGGCTGTGTGCTAAGTGCCTTAATGTATTTCCTCATGTAATCCTCTTAAGGACACTTTGAAGTGGTCACTGCTGCCCCTCAAGTGAGACACGGAGAAGTTAGGTATTCCTAAAGCTACTCAGCTGGGAAATATCAGAACCAGGATTCAAACCCACAGGGCCCACCTTCTCCTTAACCTCTTCTCCTGCCTCTCTGACATTCAAGCAGGCACTGCCATCCCCATATGCAGATGAAGAAATAGAGGCGCTAGAGGGCATTGAACTTACTGTGAAGGGGGTGCCAGACTCTGAGGCCCATGCTTCGTAGCATGTGTCAGGGATTTGCGCTCTTCCTGCTCTCCCTGCCCCCTCGTTTCTTCTTCCCCTCCGTGTGGTGGAGGTGAGGGTTTCTCTGTTCATGAGCCTCTCCATTCCCTAGGGGAGCTGGAGAAGCAGCAGGGAGCAAAGTCGCTCTCCTTCAAGTCCGGAGGAGCTCAAGTAGACCCACAGTCGAAGCAGGGGTCGCCTACAGGTGAGCCTGGGCCCTGCTCCGGAATTCCAGACCCCAGGCCTGAATGGCCAGGGCCTAGGCTAACTAGAAGCCACTGGCCGCCCCTGGGCTCGGGGTCCTGGGAGATGTGGGTGAGGGAATTGCTTATTTCCATGGCCATTTCTTCCTGCTGAGGAGCTCCAGGCTTAACCTCACAGGCCATAGGAGTGGGAGTGAGGAGGAAGGGGAGAGACTGCACTAAGGCCCAGGGTCCACGTGAGACAGCACTGTCCACCCTGGGAGCCAGGCCAAGAGCCCTGATCACCTGCCCAGGGAGGATGTCTTCTACCCTCCTACACCTGGGCTGTCTGAAGACTGCTGGCTCACTGGGTGAGACTGAATTCTTCACTTCCGATGAATGAAGCCAGAAGCCAACTTCGGGCTTTGTACCCACTTTGGCCACGTTCTCTAGACCCGCTTCCCTCCTCCCACTGACAGCCTCCTGCCTCCCTTCCCCTTGTCCTCCCCTTACCCCTGCCTGCAGGAAACATGTGAGGAGTTACCTCAACCTTCACTCTACCAGTCCCAAGTGAAAAAGAATTTGAAGGAGAGGTGACATGAGAATTAAATTCCATCCCAACAAAACCCCAGCAAGCTCCTCAGAACTGTGCACTCATTAATTAACTCAGACATTTATTCTTACATTTAACAAACACATATCGAGCGCCTGCCCTGTGCCCCATGCTAAGCACTGGAAAGCCAAGGTCCAGCAAGACCTCAGCTTGCGCTGAGAAGCTGCAGTGGGTTTCACGCTGGTCCACCACCCTCAGTGACAGCCAGGACACCATGATGCTGTGACAGACAGAATCACAGGATGGGTCACGACAACTGGGAGACGTGATTCATTTTCCAAGCAGGACTTAGGGCTCTTTTAGCTGCATGGAGATTCTCACTGTGATGCCATCTTCCCTGAATGGGTTTGACCAGCCATCATGCATTCATAATTCTCCCCCACTGCCTGATTTTCAGCCAGCCCCTTAATTTCTATCAGGTCACAGTCCTTGGGTAGCTGCATGTTTTCACAGCTGTTTAAATCCCAGAGCCAAATCTCAGCTGTGACTGATTCCCTGACAGTCCACTGCACACTCGGCACCCCAACCTGCCTCTTTTAAGCTGTAGCTGCTGGTCACACCGGGATGCACGTCTCTGGAGCCCTGTCTGTCCGGTGCCTCCGCATGGGGTGCTTCTTGGTCCCAAACACTGTCACAGCTCCCTCTTGTGCTACAGAAAGCAGAAGGATTAGCACAGCTTGGGAATTGGCACCCCCACACACACACCCCCTAGTGTGTGAGAAATCAGAGGGGCTCCAGCAGAGGGACCCCGGGATGCATGTGGGGCAGGGGGTGACGGAGCCAGAAAAACTCATCAACCTGTCCCTGGGGGTCCAAAGGGTCCCTGGTGCTGAGCCGGGCCAGCCGGAACATCCTTGTAGCAATTACAGAGCCATTATCAGATCTGGTGAGCACCGGGCCCTGTGGTGAGTGCCATATAGGTCTCAGCTCACTGAATCCTCACCAATAGGCTAAGCAGCAGGAATAGGAACAAAAAAAGAAACGTGGCCCCTCCCTCGAAGAGCCTGTATTTGAAGGAGACTGATTAACGTGGTGCCTATGCCCAGTAGAGTCTTCCTTGTGTTTCTGGGATCCAAGAACCAATGCCAGCTCATCACCAACTCGCACAGTCCATGTCAAGAAGGCTTTGACTGTGGGTAAATTAGACTCAGCGATGCCCACGTTAGAAGGAATGTCAGAGATCTCCTGGTCTGTGGAGATCCAGAGAGGTGTAACATCTTGCCCAAGGTCACACAGCTATTAAGTGAAAGAACTGGGCTCTAAATGCCAGTCCACTGCCCCAGATGGTGTATCTCAGTCAGGAGTGAGTCTTACCACCCACACCCTATAATTGCAGGCATGCTCAGTTTGGGGGGTGTGGCAGGGGGCAAGGATTTGTATTAGGAAGGGTGGAGAATGAGCCCTGTGCTCTTTGCATTCAAAGCCAAAAGGGAAGCTGCCCTGGGGGAGAGGCCTGCAGAGAGCACGGTGGAGGTAAGTGGTGGCCTGGTTGCCCAGGTGAGTGGTTCTGTGCCCCCGCTTGTCCTTCTTCTCACCGTCTCTGTTGTTTCTCTTCTCAGGTATTAATCAATGCCTCCCCAGCCCGACTCACCATTTTACCAATTTCAAGAGATACAATTAAAAGTTACTGCTAGCATGGGTAATGCCACTGTTCCAGCGCCTAGTTAAGCTGTAGCACTTTCTCCCACCCCCTAGCCTGGCCTGCCCCAACCGATAGCCCTCTACGGCCCAGCCCCGAGACTAACACCATGCAGATGAAGCCCATGCACCTCCACTGCTATCCCTCCCACACCCCCAAACCCACGTACTCCACACACTGCTCACTGATCCCCCCGTACTTGCTATATCAGAGAACCCAATATTGCCCCTCCTTCAAGTCCTCCCTATCCTCGGTGAGGGAGCCTGGAACCCCTCCGGAGAGTCACACCTTCCAGGATGGACCCTGCCCTCCCAGGTGCCTCTTAGGGAAGTTGGAGACTTGAGAGTGGGGGCATCTGGGATGGTGGAGCTTCTTCCTGGGACAGCTGTTCTATCCGGAGAGCTGGCCGTGGAGTGTGCAGGAGAAAATGAGATAGCACGGGATTGGGGTTGCTTGGAGGGCAGGGCAGCCCGTCCTCAAGCCACATAGGAAGAGACTGGGGAAATAGCAGCAGCAGCCCGTCCTTCTCAGGCCCCCAAAGTGTCACCTGGGAGCCATGCAATTGTCTCTGCAAGCCTTGCTGGGCCCTAGTCCTCCTGCCCTGACTCCTCTCGAACCCCAGTGAGCCCCTCACTCCTTTTCTGCCAGGCCTCCAGGGACTACTAGCTAGCTGCTCACACAAACGCCTCCTTTCCCGATCCCCCTCCAAGCTGGAGGAGCCTCCACTTAGAGGTCTGAGGGAGGAGCCCTGCCTACCAGCCTAAGCTGGGGGAAGCCCCAGGATACCCCAGGGGAGCCCAGTTCCTTCTCTGTCCCTGCGGCCCCCCATCCCCCACACACCTGTGTCTGGAGGAGGCACCTTTACTCGGAGGAGCTTCCTGCCCCAGCAGCTGACAAGCCCCCAGGGTGGGTATTCCATCCCCTGCCCCCCCTCCCCATCTTCCCGCAGCTGCCCATTCTGTAGCCTTGCAGATAAACACACAGCTACCAGCCCTCCCATTTGTCCTGCCAGCCCTGCCCTGCTCTGCCCGTGCCTTAGCCGAACCTGCATAGGGAGGACAAGCAGTCGGATGGCCCGTTCTCCTCCCACCCTGCCCAGAGGGCCATGTGGCTATCTGCAAGGCTGCCCCTTCCGGCTAGCCCCAGGGCCCTGCCAGCCTCTGCTCCCCTGCACAGAGGGCAGCCTCACCACCCTGGCCTCTCAGCTGAACCCCCAGCTCTCTTGTCCTCTGCCCTCTCTCTGTCATTCTGTCATTGCCAGGGCCCCTCTGGCAGGCGCTTCTCCATCTTCTCCCAGCTGGTCTGACCTGCTATTCATGTCCCATCGTCAGTCTCTCTCTCTCTCTCTCTCTCTCTCTCTCTCTCTCTCTCTCTCTTTCCTTTCTTTCATCAGCAGGGAGGTGAGAAGGGGTCACAATAAGAGAATGTTTTGCTGTCATTTCCTGCTTTTCACTTACTATTAAAAAGAAGGGATCAGGCTGAGGTGAGGAGGAGGGAGGTGAGACAGTGGGGGTGGAATCAGAAAGCAGGAGGTGAAGAGGAGGAGCAGGATGAAGCCAGGAGCTGTGGACCACGTGGGGAGCAGCTGGGAGGAGGAGGAGGAGGCTCAGTGAGTCTGAACTGGGGCAGCTAGGCATTTGCCTGCAGAGGGGCAGCTGTAGAGTCCGGGGGGAGAGAGCAGAAGGGACACAAGCCCGTCCCTGCTGTCTCAGCCACTTTTCTCCTGGGGAATACCTCAGAAAACAAGCAAGTGGGGAAAGGAGCCAGTCCCCTCCAGCAGCGATGGACAGAGGCCTTCTGCCTGAATGAGGACCACAGAGGGCTCCCCAGGAGGAAGGTGGCCCCAGCCACGCTCTCTGCCTGCCCAGTCTTGGCAAAGCAGTGAGGAGCCTGGGGACTCCTTCGTTAGCTTGGGGGCATCTCAGTGCTGCCAAGGCTGGAGGTCGAGAATGAAGAGTAAAGCTTGGAACAAGCTGAGCATGGCACAGAGGGCTTGTGAATATTGAAGGGAAGAGAAGAAGGAGGGCTTGGGGAGCCATGGAGAGGGGCGCAGCCCACGGGGAGTGCACAGACCTGGGAATGGGGGGAGTCCCTGCAGCTGCACCCTTGCCAACAAGTAGGCTCAGGATCTGCAGTTTTAGGACCCTGAGATAGTTTGGGGCTAGGCCGTCCTGTTCTAGGCCTGGGGATAAGGTCCCCTCCCTGCAGCCTGGGTCCCCACCCCCACACTCTGAGCAGCTGGTCCTGGGTTATGGTACCACGGCAAGCAGGAGGCATCCTCGGGAGGGCCACCCCTCAGAGGGCTCAGGTGTCGGAAGGAGGTGGTGTATGTCGTCATATCTACAGCCTGGGAGCTTGGGGGTGAGGGATTAAACCCCTATCCTTCCAAAATCCTTTTGCCTCTCTTCCACCCATTTTTTCCCCCTCCCCTGCTAGCAAAGGGAGGCCAGTCTGGTTCACAGTGGCCCCTGTGGGCTGAGGGAGGGGGCGACCTCCTCATGCCCCACCGAGGGGATAAAGATTAGAGTCCTGCAGCAGAAAAAATTAAGCCGGGACCCAGGCTGGGCCAGAAAGGCAGCTGGGGACCGGTCTCTGCCCTGGGCTCTCTGGGCTGCTTTTGAATGTGTGGTCATGGCCTTGGGGCGTCTGGGAGGATGGGGTAGGTCTAGATCACCCCTCCAGGGTCCCTGGCATTCTGGGGTTTGGGTGCCTTCATGACGTCAACAGTGACGATGAGCCTTCCCCTTTCACAGAGCCAGCGAGAGGAGAGGAGATGGAAAGGCTCAGAGATGCTGGGCCCTGTTCCTGTGTCCTCCCTTTGTCCTCAGGTCACCCCTGGAAGGCAGGGAGGGGGCAAAAACCCTGCTTTTCAAGCTCAAAGGCTGGTAGAGAGGAAGGTGGGGAGAAGTTTCCCATGGCCCAAAGCCACCCAGCAGGTCCCTGAAGTCAGACTGCAGAGCTGTGCAGACCCTGAAAGACCTTTGGTCCAACGGCCCATCTCACAGATGAGCTGAGGCCTAGAGAGCTGAGGCTGCTTGCGGCCACTGGCAGAACACATCAGTCTCTTGACTGTATTGGGATTTGGAACTTCTGTCAGCAACCATTTTTTGCCCGGTGGAGAGGTGGGGAGTGGGTGAAGGTGAGGGCTGACAGCCCCTAATGGGCACAGGAGCCAGGGAAGGGGAGAAGGGAGGCTCAGGGTAGCCAGTCCTAGTAGCTGGGAATTAGTCTTGTAACATTTCATGCTTCTCTGGCTGTTTCTAAACTAGGTGTCAATTCACAACAGGCTTCAAACGTCCCAGCACAACTCCAGGCTGGGGGCCGAGAGGGGAGCTCCGGCGCCACTGCCAGACCCGCAGCCTAGCCCCTTGAGAGAGCAGCCCCCGCCGCCATTGCCGCCTCCGCCACCCACACCCCCGGGAACCCTGGTGCAGTGCCAGCAAATTGTCAAGGTCATTGTCCTGGACAAGCCCTGCTTGGCCCGCATGGAGCCCCTGCTAAGCCAGGCTCTCTCTTGCTACGCCTCTTCCTCCTCTGACTCCTGCGGCTCCACACCCCTGGGTGGCCCAGGCTCCCCAGTCAAGGTCATCCACCAGCCCCCGCTGCCCCCTACAACCACCCTCACCAATACTGCCCGCCCGGCTCCCTGCTGCACCGGCGCCGCTACTCTAGCGGCTCCAGGAGCCTGGTGTAGACTCTGCCCCCCATGCTGCTGTCCCAGGAGGGCTGTCACCAGGGTCCCTGGACTGCACCCAGCAGCCCCGACTGCCCCTTCGCTGCTCCTCACACCCTGGCATGTGGCGTTCCTGGTCACCATCACCGTCGTTTTGGAAAGAGAACCCTAGTCCCTGGCACCTGGGTTTATCTCGCCCAACCATGCTTCTCTTACTTAGTTGAGCACCTTCCCCCAAAATCTGGAGACACCACAGCACTGTCCCGGGCCCTATACAGCCAGACACAGGCAGGCCTCCTCATCCTCCTGCCACGACTCGCCACGTGGACCATGGACTGAGAGAACAGGAGCTGAGGGCCTACCCAGCTTCTGGGTTGAGTCTGTTGTGCCCCAAGCCTCAGGCCAGAAGGGTGGCACGAGGGGCTGGGTGCCAGCGCCTGAGCACTGTACAAAGTGACTTGGCTCTCTGCTCAGCTCTAGGTGCTGCACTGAGTAGAAAAGGGGGGCCCTGGATCCCTGAAGGGAGCAAGGAGTGGGAGTGTGAGGAGAGGGCTTTCTCTGCTGCCCCTGCCCCTCCAATCCTGGCAGTCTCTGGAGGCTGCTCGTCTGTCCTCAAGGGTGTTGATGTCCTAACCATGTACTCCCCCTCATTCCAGGGCCTTCTCTTTTCCAGGAGCTGGGTCCTGCCTGCCCAGGGCTGCCCAGATGCCAGGAAAGCTCTGAGAAAGAGAGTAAGGAAGGCGGACCACTCTCAGCTTCTTTAGATCAGTTCAACAAGGCTGTGGAATCATGAGGTCATATAGCTACAAAACGCACCTTTTTGGAATTTTAGTTCCCTAGCCCCAAATAATACCCAGCCAACACAAAGTGTGCACTGGCCATAAACATAAACACACGTGAGAACCAGGTTAACTTCTCCCACTGTGGCAGTGGAAACGGAGAAGCGGCAGTGGACTGCCCACCAGCAGACATAGACTTGGGACCGAGACAAAGTTCCCTTTTGCAATATTTCCATGGTCTCCACGAGGGATTTGGATGCAGGAGTGGGCGAGAGATGCAGGTGCTCCACAGGCACTTGTATTTCCCTTGCTGCCCCCCAAACTCGCCTCTCAGCCTTTAAATCTCCCCTAAGAGGGCACCAGACCTGCATCCTGCAGGGGCTGCTAAAAGAGTCCCCCCACCCTTACCATGGCAAAGAAGAGCCAAGTGGGGCTCACGGACTTACTAGGGCCAAGCAGCATCAGGGAATCAGCCTTCGTGTGACTCCACGGAGCCTGGGCAGCCCCTGTCAAAGGCCTCAGGGGGTACTGGGGCCCCAGTCACGCGCAAGCCAGCCTGGACTCCAGTCCTGTGCCAGCAGCCCGTTGCTGTCCTTCAGTGAGATCCCCTCCTACTTGGAGCCCGTTATCAAAGCGTCCCAAGAGATGCGAGTGGATGTGGGCCAAGTCTAAAGTGAATTTGCCTCTCCCCTCACCCCTACCCCATGTCCCGCTGCAGGCCCGTGGGCTAGCCAGGAGGCCCCAGTTCTTCTCCCGCCCTCAGAGCTTCCAGATGACCTAGTTTCGTTGGTTTGTGTGTGGTCACCAGACGTCATTATGATGTTATCCGGCGAGTTTATTTCTGGCCCTGTCTTTGTCAGCCCAGTTTCCATAACTTGTGACCAATTTGCCGTCTCCTCCACTGTGGCTCCCCAGCCGACCTGCTTTTGTCCTTGTCGACTCCTGTGTCTTTTCTGTGACAAGGATACGCCAATCCAAGCCTCTTGGAACAGAGTGGCTGACAGATGGCTGCACAAACTCAGACACCTCCGATGCCCTTGGCCAGGGCAGGGATCGCCCCTGAGGAGTGACAGCGGGGCAGCAGGAGCGGAGTTGTGGGGATGGGAGTGATTGAATCTTGAACGAGGGAGGCTGGAAATAGAATGGAAGTTATGGATGGGCATCAGAGAGTAGGAGTTATGAAGGAAGAGACGTGCTGAGGTGGCTAAACATGTTTATGGGGTGGGGACCATGAATGCCAGGGGCTGGGGAGGACAGGTCACAGGCCCAGCCATCAGGCATTGTCACCTGCTTACATAGTGCTTCTCGTTGACAAAGTGCCCCCCTCCGTATCAATGGGCACAGCAACTCTGGCCCCTCCCCCACATCTCTGCTGTTAGCCCTGACTTTCCAGACGGGACCAGCAGAGGTCTTAGGGCTGGCACACGGAGCCTCTCTCTGAAGACCCAGATGCTCGGGTAGTAGGAGTTTACCCCTGGCTGCTGCGGTGGCTGCCCTGGGCCCCACTGGCAGCCCTGGGAGTTCTGGCCTAGGATGCAGACCAGCCTGTGCTCAGTAGAACACGGGGCCAAGCCTGAGCTTTGAGTGGCCTGGGGTGGGGTGCAGCTGGCCCCCATCAGGGAAGCAAGAGTTCCTAGTGTCTGCATCCTCCCTATCCTGATCAGCAAGCAGGCTAAGGTTGAGACCCCCTTCTGTCCCCATCTCCAGGGCCGAGCCCTCAGAGACCTAGGACCAGCCTCCTGCCCTCCAGCCTTTGCAGGGTATCCAGCTAGAGATGCTCACGGGCCCTCCTGCTCTCCCATGGCTGAGGGGCAGTGCAGTGCTGACTGAGTCCCCAGACACAGCCTCCAGGGTGCGTGTCCAATTACCCCAACATGGCCCCATTCTATCAACTCTCTAGGCCTTATTTTGGGGGACCTGGGCCCCTCTCTCAATTTTATCTATTTGGCTCCAGCTCCAGAATCAGGAGTGGCAATGAAACTAGCGTTCCCACCCACTTTGGGGCAAGTCCCACTGCTAGACCTGGAGCAAGTCTCTTCCCCGGGGAGCTTGACCAAGAAGCCTGCCTGCCTGCCGCCTGTATCCAAAGGCACACACATTTGTCAGCCCTGGGCCCTTGACCCTTGAAATCCTTAACCCCCACCTCACCTGTTCCCCAGAGCCTGCCAGAATGTCTCTTTGTAACCAATAGGCCTCCCTGATAACCATCTATCTGTCTGTCCCTATGTTCTGCTGTACATACCTTCTTGCTTCGTCCCTCCTCCCTGCATACACCCATTCACCCACTGGAGAGAAACCTCTCTAGGGAAAAGCAGGGTGGCTGCACCCAGCGACTAAGCCAAATGGCAAATATTTTGTAATAAAATAGCCCAGAGGTATTTTATCTGTTCAATTCATAGTTTTAGAGATTATATTGAAATACGTCACTTGAAAAACTGTCAGTTGTGTTTCTTTTGTTCTCTAAGAGGGAGATCCGAAGTAAGAGGACATTCCAATGCCCTCAGCCCTGGGATATTTAAGGAGCACCTGGGGTATTTAAGAGCAGTCAGGCTGCTCTTCTCTGGCCATGGTGACATCGTCCCTTCACCCCATGTGAAGGCACTCTGAGCCACCATGTGATGTGACTGGGAACCCCTGTCTTAAATTAATGAGGCTTGGATACGGGGAGTCATCTGATGGGTGGGCAGTGGGTCAGAGCTGGGGGTGCAGGGCCAAGGAGTTCACACACACACACACACACACACACACACACTCACTCTTACAATGAGCCAATCGAAAGAGCAGGTTACAATGGAGACCAGGGGCAGCTTTGGAGGGAGGAAGCGCCATGACTACCAGTGTGCATCCAGTACTGTGAGAGATGATGGGCTAGGACCCCATCTGCCCTGCTTGACTTTCTGTAATGGAGAGCGAGGGTATGTTGGGGTGTCTGGGTCCCACTGACCATGTTTGATCACCCACCTCGGGTGATTTTTACCAGACATCAGCTCCTGAAGCCTGACCTTCTCATCACAAGGTCTGATTTGACCATCCCTGGAGTGTACTATTCCTGCAATGCAGGGGGCACCAGGCTCAGGTGAAAAGATTGGGGGAACATTGCTGGGAAAAGTGCAGGGAGCCACAGAGTGCAATGGAGCAAACATTTACCGAGCCCCACAGTGTGCCAGATCCCCTGTTGGTGCTGGAAGGGATGCCAAGATTCTGCAGAGGGATATGACAATAGCCAAGTGTCTGTAATGCAAGAGAAAAGACCGAAATCAGGGCTAGAGAGACACACAGGTGCTTGGCGAGCATTCACAGTCACATGCAATGCTCAGATCAGGCCCCATAAACAGGGGCTTGACACAGAGTGACTTCTCCTGACAGGAGAGCAGAGAGAGTCTTCCAGCAACACTAACACATCAGAGACTGTGGGAGAAAAGCAACTGGCCAGGATGGCCACTTGCAAAGAGAGCATCCAGCTCTTCTGGTACCCAGAACTCTGAACACCCAAAAATCCTGACAGCTCCTCAGGCTGGGTCCCCTTATCCCCTGTTAAAGTGAAAGGCAACATGACCTCACCTTCCTTCCAGGAAATGGGAAATTCAAAAAAAAGAAGGGGCCAGCTATGACCTGTCCCATCCTGGGAACTCTGTGACCCAGGAAGCTGAGAACTGACCCCTTGAGAGCACCCTGGAGGGAATCCAGCTCAGCCCAGACCTGGGAAAAGGCCGAGGGCCAAAAAGGCCTGCTGCTGTCTGTGCGGGGATGTGGGGCAGTGCCACTGTTCTCCAAGTCTTCTGGCCCCTGAGGTCATCTAGGAGGAATGACCATCTGTCCAGTAAGAGAAGGAGGCCTTCCTGTTCTGATAGAGCCTGATGGTGTTTCAGGCCCCTCTGGGTTCATCTGCCATAGGATTGAGAGCTGTGGTCAGTGCTGATGCCTTGTAGTGACCCTTTAGATGGGGAAACTCAAAGTCATCAGCCATTGACTTGGAATGTTTCCAGTAAGGGGCCCAGGATTTATGGGATTCTGGCTGAGAGCAATGGGCCAGAACAAGCTGCCAGTGCTAGAAATCAGGGAAAATTCAACAAGCTCATGAATACCTGGTATGCACCAACTAATAGTCTAGATGCTGGGATATGCAACAAATGGGACAAACAACGTTCCTGCCCCCCACCAGTTCCCATTGGGTGGTACCATCAGAAGTCAACAAATGGGGTTGGCTGAGTGGCACGTTGGTTAAGAGTTAGCTTGGGAGCGCCAGCTCTGAGCAGCAGGGCCCCGGTTCGGATCCCACATGAGGGCCAGTGACGCAGCACCTTCTACAGCTAAGATGATGAACAGCAGCTCGACCTG